CTTTCTGCTGGTTGTCGACGACTTCACGCGTTACACCACGGTCTTCCCCTTGCGCAGCAAGGGAGACGTCCCTGCTGTTTTGATCCCCTGGATCCGCGCTGTGCGTCTCCAGCTCCGCGAGCGGTTCGAGCGGGACTTTCCTGTCCTGCGTCTGCACTCTGACAGAGGTGGTGAGTTCTCCTCTGACCTCTTGGCAGCCTTCTGTGCGGAGCACGGCATCACCCAGTCGTTCACGCTTCCGGCCTCTCCGCAGCAGAATGGGGTTGCTGAGCGCCGCATTGGCTTAGTCATGGAGGTCGCTCGTACCTCCATGATCCATGCGGCGGCTCCCCATTTTCTGTGGCCGTTCGCGGTCCGGTACGCCGCGCATCAGCTCAACCTCTGGCCCCGTGTCTCCTTGCCGGAGACCTCGCCCACACTGCTGTGGACGGGGGAGGTTGGCGATGCGTCGCGTTTCCGGGTCTGGGGTGCTCGTGCCTTTGTCCGCGATCTCACCGCGGACAAGCTCTCTGCTCGCGCCATTCCCTGCGTCTTCCTTGGTTTTCCTCCTGACGCGCCTGGCTGGCAGTTTTACGACCCCACCTCGCGCCGTGTCTTTGCGTCTCAGGACGTCACCTTTGACGAGTCTGTTCCCTTCTACCGTCTCTTTCCCTACCGCACTGTCTCTCGCCCCCCCCCGCCGCTCTTTCTCGCTCCAGGTCCTCCCCAGGTAGACCCCCTCCCCGTGCCAGGTCCTGCTCCTTCAGGTGTTTCTCAGGTAGACCCTCCGGTACCTGCGCCTGTTGAGGTCACTGGTGACTCAGGTCCTGCTGGAGGTGGTCCTGCTCGGGGTGCTGTCTCTGGGGGTGCTGAGCCTGGGGGTGCGGAGCCTGAGCGAGAGGCGCCTAGAGGTGCTGAGCCTGGGGGTGCGGAGTCTGGGGATGCCGTGCCTGCGCGTGAGGAGCCTGGCGGTGCTGAGCTTGGGGGTGTCGAGTCTGAGGGTGCTGTGCCTGCGCGTGAGGAGCCTGGAGGTGCTGAGCTTGCGGGTGCCGAGTCTGCGGGTACTGAGCCTACGCGTGAGGAGCCTGGGGGTGCTGGCGCTGGAGGTTCTGGAGCAGCTGGGGGTGCTGGCGCTGAGGGTTCTGAGTCTGCTGTTGCGCGGTCTCCTTGGAGTAGCCGCCTTCGTCCACGTGTGCCTCTCACCCCACAGCAGCTGCAGGACTGGTACGGTCACCGTCAGCGTCGCGCTGCTGGAGCTAGGAGTGGTGCTGGACCTTTGTCTACTGGAGGTGCTGGAGTCGCTGGTTCTGGAGGTACTCGTACTGGAGACACTGAGGCTGGAGACCCTGGGACTGGAGGTGTCGGCTCTGGGGGTGCTGCTGCTGGTGACACTGAGGCTGGAGACCCTGGGACTGGGGGTGCTGGTTCTGGGGGTGCTACTGCTGGAGACACAGGGGCTGGAGACCCTGGGACTGGAGGTGACGACTCTGGGACTGGAGCTTCTGGAGCTGCTGGAGGTTCTGGAGCTGCTGGAGGTACTGGAGCTGCTGGGGGTACTGGAGCTGCTGGAGCTGCCGGTACTGATGCAGCTGCGCCGACACGACTGTTCTTCGCTCCGCCGTCTCCGTCGTCTCTGCCGCCGTCTGACTCTGTTCTTCGTCAGGTTCTTACTCTCCCGTCGTCTACTGGTCTTCCGTTACAGCCTGGCTCACCGCTGCCTGCTCCTTCTCCTTACACTGAGCAGACTGGTAGTCCTGCTGAGCGTCGTGAGCCTGTGTCGCGTCCTGTCTCGCCTGCTCGTCCCGGTCGTCGTGTTCCTCGTTCGCGTCAGCAGGCTGTCCCCAGCACACACCTCGTAGTTCGTCGTCCTTCCTCTGCTCTGCAGCCTGTTCCTCTTCCGTCTCCCCCTGCGTCCTCTCTACCTGACGTTCCAGACCCTGAGTCTGACCGGTTTCGTGCTGAGCACCCTACTGTCACGCGTCTGCTAGCCACTGTTGTCACTGACCCGTCGTTTGAGTCTACTGCTGCGTCTGCTCTTGTCGCTGAGCTTGTTGACTTTGCTGCTGCCTGTCGTCTAGACTACGCCGCCAGTCTTGTTGCTGAGTCTGCGTCTGTCTGTCCTCCGTCCGTCGGGGGTGAGTGTGCTCTTAGCACGGACGTCCTTGAGGACAGGCAGGAGGAGTTCCAGTGTCTTGCTGCTGCTTTACCTCATCTTGTGTCCTCGCTACTTGCCCCTGAGGGAGACCCGGATGCACCAGACATCCCGACTCCGCGCTCTTACGCAGAGGCGATAGAGAGTCCCTACTCCTCTCAGTGGCAGGCAGCCATGGACGCAGAGATGGCTTCCTGGAAGTCCACAGGCACCTATGTCGACGAGGTTCCCCCACCTGGGGCGAACATCGTCAGTGGCATGTGGATTTTCAGGGTGAAGCGGCCGCCGGGTTCTCCGCCTGTCTTCAAGGCGCGTTACGTGGCTCGAGGCTTCAGTCAGCGAGAGGGAGTTGACTTCTTCCAGACCTTCTCCCCCACCCCGAAGATGACCACTCTTCGGGTGCTGCTGCACGTTGCTGCTCACCGTGACTACGAGCTTCACTCTCTTGACTTCAGCACTGCTTTCTTACAGGGCAGCCTGCACGAGGAGATCTGGCTGCGCCGCCCCCCGGGCTTCACTGGGTCGTTCCCTCCTGGCACCCAGTGGAGCCTCCGACGGCCGGTCTACGGTCTCCGCCAGGCGCCACGTGAGTGGCACGACACACTGAGGACGACACTTGCGGCTCTTGGGTTTGCGCCTTCTACTGCTGACCCGTCGCTGTTTCTGCGCACAGACACTTCACTGCCGCCGTTCTACATCCTCGTGTACGTCGACGACTTGGTTTTTGCCACTGCTGACACTGAGGCTCTCGCCCACGTGAAGTCGGAGCTACAGAAGAGACACACGTGCACTGACTTGGGTGAGCTGCGCAGCTACCTTGGCTTGCAGATCACCCGGGACAGAGCACGCCGCACCATCACCTTGACTCAGTCACACATGGTGCAGCAGGTCCTTCAGCGCTTCGGCTTCACCTGGTCTTCAGCACAGGCCACTCCTCTGGCTACAGGTCACACGCTCTCAGCTCCACCTTCGGACGAGTCCGTAGAGCCGAGTGGTCCTTACCCAGAGCTAGTCGGCTGCCTCATGTACCTGATGACTTGCACTCGACCTGACCTCGCGTACCCTCTTGGTCTCCTCGCTCGCTACGTGGCTCCTGGTCGACACCGACCTGAGCACATGGCTGCTGCTAAGAGGGTACTGCGCTACTTGTGCAGCACATCAGGCATGGGGCTAGTGCTTGGAGGGACGAGCCCAGTTGTCCTCACTGGGCACTCAGACGCTTCTTGGGTTGACGACCTGGCTACTCAGCGGTCGTCACAGGGTTACACCTTCAGCCTTGGCTCTGGTTCAGTTTCGTGGCGTTCTACACGCTCGTCTTCAGTTCTCGGCTCCAGTTGTGAGGCTGAGATCTACGCCACCGCCATGGCTGCACAGGAGTTACGTTGGCTCACCTACCTGCTGACTGACTTGGGAGAGCAGCCTCGTTCTCCTCCAGTACTGTACGTTGACAACAAGGCCGCCATTGCCTTGTGTGAGGAGCACAGACTGGAGCACAGAACGAAGCACATTGCTCTGCGTTACTTCCTGGCTCGAGAGTTGCAGCAGCGAGGCCAGCTTTGTCTTCGTTACGTGGCCACTCGGGCCAACACTGCTGATATATTCACCAAGGCACTTCCGTCTGGTGATCATCAGCGCTTTTGTACTCTGTTAGGCCTTGTGCCTACGCTTCCACACTTGCTGTAGTCTTTGCTTGTACTGTGATCTATATATATATCTCTGCATGTGAACTGGCCTTGTGGCCTTTTGCTTGTGCTCAGAGTATGTGGTGACGTTGTGATCCACCCTGAGCTTGTTTTGCTTTGACTGGTCTTGTGACCTCTTGCTCTCCCCCACTTTGCCTATGGGGGTGTGTCAAACATATTTATATGGGTTATATTACTGGTAGGCTGTAGTGGGGTAGATTCTGTGGGGTATAACCCCTTAGGGTTTTCCTACTTGTAAAATTTCTCTCGATAGTGAACCTCACCTTGCCTAGCTATCTCAACACATTGCGCTGATTATTGGGCAGTGGTGAGATATGGAGTGCGGCGGATTGTTGTGCGGTGCGGTGTGGTGTGGTGTGGTGTGGTGTGAGTTATGGCCAGCTGCTTGATACAGTAGTGTTATTTATTCCTTCAAAGGCTGCCATGTCACATCTTACTAATGACAGGCCTTTGAATAACCTGAATCAAGAACAATGTTTCTGTGCTCATAGCGTATGGTGTTCAACTTCTGACCCTTGTAACGTTTACAAGTGCTAACCAGTGGTGCTGTCGCTCAGACTTGGCATGCGTTTGCTGTGTTACTGTAGTACTTTCATTTCATGCAGCAGACTTTTTTGAATACGTTGTATGAACTTGCAATGGGATAGGCACGATGCAGGAAGGAATATAAAGCATACCGTAGCATAGAATGATGTCTGATACAAAGCAAAGCACAACAGGCACACAAGCTGTAGCTTCGATGACATAGCAGTACGATCCAGTCACATATGCTCCCGCAACCAACCAACCAACCACAGAAACAAGCCAACTATGTATCTGGATTACCGTACTAATAAGCGTCTTGCACAGTGGAACGAAGCTTGAAAAAAGAAGACCGTTCAAAGCGCAGAGAGCTACACTCTCGCGGGGATCTAACAAGAGCAAAGGGAGCATGGCGGCCATACAAAGCATTGCGCAAAGCAGAGTGGGAGAGGGTCCGGGTAGGGTGAGGTCTGCAGGGTAAAGGGGACAGGTAGATAAGAGGGTGAGATGGAGGGAGGCTGGGTGGAAGAGGGAGGTACAGCATCCTTATTCCAGTCGACGGCTGCTCTGCTTCTTACACACACAGCTAACTACTAGTTGCACCGCGCATAGCTTGCGAAACACTCTGCGCTTCCCCTCCCACCTCACTTGCCACCCCCAGCACCAGCGGCAGCGGCAGCAGCAGCAGCAGCAGTAGCAGAAACAGCAGCGGCAGCAGCAGCAGCCTTGCCAAGGCGGTCCCTATGCCCGGCAGCAAGACGCATGAGCTTGTGCGCGTGCGTGCTCATGCCCTGTGCATCTGTCGCCACCTCCAGAGCCGCCTTCTCTGCCTCCTGCAGGGTGCGGAGCAGGCGCGTGTTGGTGTCTCGCTCCTTGTCCAATGCGTGGCGGAGGGATGTGAGTGTGCTCTGCAGGTGTGCCACTTGGTCCTTGTGCTGCCATGGGGGAGGAGGAGGAGAGAAGGGTAAAGGGGAGGTGAAGGTGGGGGGTTTGGCGAGGGAGGAAGGGGACGGTTTAGTGGGAGGAGAGAGTGGAGCGCCGGTGAAGTCCCTTCGTGGCAGAGGGCACTCCTGTCCGCCTCCTTTAGGTCCTGAGCAGGCGTGTATTGGTGTGTCGTTCCTTGTGCAAGGCGTGGTTGTGGTGGAGAGACGTGAGTGCGCTCTGCTGGTGCTTGTGCTGCCATGGGGAAGGGGAGGGAGATGGGAGGGGGCAGAGATGGGAGGGGGCAGAGAAGGGGAGGGAGATGGGAGATGGGAAGGGGAGGGAGATGGGATGGGAGATGGGAGGGTGGGAGCACACGGGGGTTAAGGGGAGAAAGTGGGCGAGAGATTTGGAAAACGAAACCCACTCGCACTGAAACGATAAGGAACGATGAACGAGGCTCCCGTGTCGAGCCCACAGGGGCAAATAGTCCCATCTCGGACCTCCCATGCAAGCGGGCAACGCCCACACACATGGCAAGAGAGCGCACGCCCTCCACCCCCACAGTACTAGATCCGAGAAAGGTTTGGGCTTGTCACAGCACAGTCGCCCAGCAGTCACCGAGCGCAAGCACAACTACATGCAGAGGAGGGGGCACGCTAAAGCCGCCGCTTGAGTAGACAATTGAGCCTGTCCCTCTGCTCGAGTCCACAACTCCTTTCTACTCGGGTCGAGGGTTTTCTAGTCAACGTCGGAACTCGCACGTTTCCAGTGCCCCAACAGGTGGCACGCTTTCCTGGTGCAGCTGCTGCAGAGGGCAACCCTGAGTAGGGCATGCGCGCTGACCTGGGTGACCTCTGTGAGGCGCAGTGCCTTGAGCTCCGTCAGCTCCTCCAGCAGTGATGCACTCTCGGATGACGACTGAGGGGCAGGCAGGGGGGAGGATTGGGGGCGAAGTGAGGAAAGGGAGAGGGAATGGAGAGGGCACAGTGAGGGCACAGTGAGGGCACAGTGAGGGCACAGTGAGGGCACAGTGAGGGCAAAGGAAGGGGCGCGTAGAGCCTTGAGCTCCGTCAGCTCCTCCAGCAGTGATGCACTCTCAGATGACGACTGGGGGGAAGGGGAAGGCAATGGGAAGAGAGAGAGGTGCGGGTAAGGCGAGGGGGAGGCTAGGGAAAGAGAGAAACGAGGACCAGGAAAAGGGTGAAAACGGCATAGTGGGGAGGGACCATTCCAGGACGTTGTGATATGTGAGAGAAACGCTCCAAGGACGAGGACTTTTTTGAGAACACTGGCATTGCTTTGTGAGCTCGTTACATAGGCCTGAACAATACACCCCGGGCAGGCCCCCACCATGCATGCAACACCAGAGCCATACTGCCCCGTCCCATGCACATACACACCTTGCGCATCTGTTGCTGCATGACCTCCACTGTGGACTGCAGCGCACGCACTGACGCCTGCCGGGAAGGGTGAGGGCGGACGGCACGGCGCACGGGGGGACGAGAGAGGGAGACGGAAAGAGAGGGGCGAGAGAGAATGAGGGAGAGAGGGCGAAAGGTAGTGGAAAATAGAGGGGAGTGGGCGGTCAGTTGGTGACAGACGGAGGCGGTAGAAACGGAGAAAGGGACGGGGAAGAGAGAGAGAGAGAGGAGTGGAGGTTGAAGCTGGCACGAGATGCAAGACATGAGTCGACTCGAAACAAAACATGAGACGCATGTCGCTTCCTGCGCACCTGAGCAGCAGAGAGCTCCCCGTGAAGGTTCTGAATGGCGTGGGAACCATTGGACTTCTGTTGTGGGCATGGCGCAGCACAGGGGGAATGGGACGGTGGGAAGGGGATGGTTATGAAGGGAAGGGAAGGCGAGTGGAGGAGAAGTGAACGGAAGTGAATCGATGCACGGGAATGGGCACAGAAACACGGGATAAGAACAGTGAAGATCGAGAAACGCAACGGAAAACAGGAAAGAAAAGAAGGGAAAGCGGAAAAACGGGACGGGGGGGGCAGTGAATCATCAGAGGCGGAGAGAAAGAGAGTGAGCAAGCAAGCAAAGGCCGGCAGGAGAGACTGACGAGCGCGTGCGAGAGCAGCTTGTGCTCGAGGTTGGAGTGCTCGAGCGCGAGCTTGAATGCATCCCGCTCGTACTCCGCCTCGCCCAGCACCGCGCCCATGCTCTCCTTCTCCGCCTTCACGCGCTTGCTCTCCGCCTCCACCACCACCATCCGCGTTTTAAGCTCCTCCAGCTCGTCGCTAAGCGCCTTGCAGCGGTCGTTGCTCTGCTGGCGGGCCGTGGCGAGTTCCCTGCGGGCGGCGAGAAGCTGAGCGTGCAGCCCGTGCAGCTCGTCCGTCATTTGCTCCTTCTCCTTCTGCCACTCGTCCTGCTGCTTCCGCATCTCCTCCCGCTCCTTCTCCCGCTCCTCCTCCCGCCGCTGCTCCACGGCCCGCTGCCTCTCGCGCTCCTTCTCGCGCTGCTTCTCCATCTCCCTCTCCTGCACCCGCTCTCGCTCCTTCTCCCTCTCCCTCTCCCTCTCCTTCTCTCGAAGCAACTCCCTTTCCCGATTCGCAGCTTGCTCCTTCTCCCACAGGCGCTCCAGCTCTTGAATACGCACCCTCTCCCTCTCCCTCTCCTCCTGCCGCTCCTGCTCCCGCCGAATCTCCCTCTCCCTCTCCTCAGCGCGCTGCTTCGCCTCCTCCTCCCTCTCCTTCTGAATCTGAAGCTCCCTCTCTTCCTCCCTCTTCCTCTCCGCCTGTCGCTTCTTCTCACGCGCTCTCTCCTGCTCCCGCTCTTTCTCCCTCACCCGCTCCCTCTCAGCCTCCTCCGCTCGCTCCCTCTCTCTCTCCCTCTCCCTCTCCCTCTCCTCAGCCCTCTCCTTCTCTCTCTGCGCCTCTCGAATCCTCTCCTCAGCCCTCTCCTTCTCTCTCTGCCTCTCCCTCTCCCTCTCCTCAACCCGCTCCCTCTGCCGCTTCCTCTCCCTCTCCCTCTCCGCCTGCTTCTCTCGCTCCCTCTGCACCTCCCTCTCCCTCTCCCTCGCCTTCTCCTCCTCCCTCTTCCTCTCCACCCCCCCAATCCGCGCGTGCCCCTGCAGCACCTCCCGCTCCCGCTCCTTCTCCCGCTCAATCAACCTCCTTATCTCCTCCTCGCGCTCTTTCACGAGCTCCAAATCCCGCCGCCGCTCAGCCTCTCGCTCCGCTTCCCTCTGCAGCTCCCGCTGCCGGATCTTCTCAACCTCCCCGCGTTCGATCATCAGGTCCAGCTCCCACTGCGCCTCCTTCTCCCTCAGCAGTTGCATCAGCGCTTCTGCTTTCTCCTTCCACTCTGCCCCACTACCATCAGCAGCGCCAGCGCCAGCACCACTATCCTTCCACCCGCCCTCCTCCTCCTCCTCGTCTTCCTGAACCTCCCCCCTCCTACCGTCTCCCCGTCCCCACTCCCTCCCTCCCTTCGACCACCCGTCCGCATCCCCGCCAGCACCGCTCCCCGCGCCCGCCCCCTCCCCCGCGCTCCCCGCCTTCTCCGCCACGGCGCGCAGCTCATCGCGCTCCTCCTCCGCGCGCCTCAGACTCTCCTCCAACCCCGCTTCGCCTGCCTCACCTCCTCCATCTCAACCAACAAATCCTCCTGAATCCTCTCCCTCTCCGTCCGCTCCTCCTGCACCTCCTGCCGCAGCTCCTCCTCCTGCCGCTTCATACACGCCACCTCTTCTCTCAGCTCCTCCAGCTCACTACAGCTCATGGTCAGGGCTTTAAGCAGCCGCTCCTGCTCGAGCATGGCGCGGTCGAGCCCGGCTTTAAGAGCGTCGCGCTCCTTGGTGAGCGTGGCGAGCGTTTTCTTGAGGTTGCGCCCCTCGCGCTCCATGGCCTCCAGCCCCATGCGCAGCTGCTCCGCCTCCGCCTGCGCGCCCTCCGCCACCTTCTCCAGGCGCCGCACCTCGCTGCGCGCAAGGGGGAAGGGGGGTGGGGGGAAGAGGGAGAGGGGAGGGGCGGGAGCAAGAGGGGGAGGGGAGGGGCGGGGCAAGAGGAAGGTGGGTGAGAAAGAGAAATGGTGCAGACGATGGAGGAGCGGGGGAGGGGGCAAGAGAGAGGAAGGATGGAGGAGAGAAAGGGGAGGGAGGGAAAGAGGGAGGGAGAGGGGCGGCTGGGGGGGGGGAGAGAGGAGAGCAAGACGTGGGAGGGAGAAGCAACGCAAGCATGTTGGGACGGAAAGAGACGGAAGCGAAGCAAGGTGTACATGGGCGGCAGGGAGGAAGGACGAGAGGCGAGAGCACGGTCAAACACAAAAGAAACAGCACCCACCCCGGCCAGCACGGATTCTTGCTCTCGCGCTCCTTCAGGGCCTACTCACCTTTCCTCACCTCTTCTCACCTCCCCATCCCCATCCGCCCCTCACCTGCCCTTCTCTCGCCTCTTCTCGCTACCCCCTCACCACTGCTGACACCCCCCCCATCTGACCTCCTCTGCTCACACCTCCCATCTCCCGCTACCAAGTCCCGTCCCACCCTCGACCGCTGTTCCCCCCTCACCTGCGCAGCTCGCTGTTCTTGCTCTCGAGTTCCCCCAGGGCCTTCTCGCAGCTCCTGTAGAGCAACTCCCGCTCGCCGATCTCCTTCTGCTTCTTCTGCTCTCGCCGTTGCACAGGGGGGCAGAGGGGAGGGGAGAGGGCAGGGGAACAGAGTGGAAGGGAAAAGGGGTGAGGGAGGAGGAGAGAGGGGAGCGGGCAGGGAGGAAGCGACAGGGGGAAAGGGGAAGCGACGGAAGAGGGGGGGAGGGGGCAGGGGAGAGAAAGGTTGAGGTACAATGGGAGGAACGGGGTCTCGACTTTTCCCAGGGAACTCTCGCAGCTCCTGTAGAGTAACTCCCGCTCGCCGATCTCCTTCTGCTTCTTCTGCTCTCGCCGTTGCACATGCGCGCGTGGGTGGGATGATGAGGTACGGTGGGAGGAAGGGCAGGGGGCAAACAAAAGGACTAACAAGAGTTTGGAGTGAAGGAAAAGAGAGGGGGGAAAGAGAAGGGGAGGTGGGCAGAGAGAGAGAGAGAGAGAGAGGGAGAGAGAGAGAGAG